ACAATGTAGATTTGGGGATCTGCTACCAAGGGAAGGGGAATAATCTGCTACTAGGAGAAGAGGGAGGATCTGCTATTAAGGGGAATCTGCTACTAGGAGAAAGAGAAGGGGTAGGATCTGCTACTAGGAGAAGGAGAAGGGGTAGGATCTGCTACTAGGAGAAAGGGAAGGATCTGCTACTATGGCTAGGGTGGGTAGACTACTGCTCTCTGAATTGTAACCGTGTATTGAATGTCCGCGGCGCTAACAGAAAACTCCGCCATTTCTCTCTTCCAAATACTTTATTTGTAGTCATGTATCTACACACAAGATTAGGATTCACCGGAAATAAAGGTACTGCACTTTATGTGCAGAATATAAACCAATTTTTTGCCAATCAACCAAAGATAAAAATATGTTTAAATTCTGTTAAATAATTTCTTTATTTTGTCTTTTGTTTTGTTGGTCTACTCTGAATAAACATCAAAAGTGAAAATTTACTAAATAAATGAATTGGGCCAATAATATATAATATATCCAATAATATATAATATATTTATGGTATTTCTTGGCACCAGGTATCCAGAGATTCGGGGTCTTACTGTTTGAAGGGTCAGGATTAAAAATATTAACAGTTTTTAATATTTTTTCTTCTCTATATTAAATTGTTCAAGATTATCATGAAAACGAGATGCAATGGAAACCTGGTGGAAACCTAGCAGAAAACTTAACATTGTAATAGACATGATATTCTTAATAAATCTAATAATTTACAACATATATCTACTTTGATAAATAGACATGATATTCTTAATAAATCTAATAATTTACAACATATATCTACTTTGATAAATAGACATGATATTCTTAATAAATCTAATAATTTACAACATATATCTACTTTGATAAATAGACATGATATTCTTAATAAATCTAATAATTTACAACATATATCTACTTTGATAAATAGACATGATATTCTTAATAAATCTAATAATTTACAACATATATCTACTTTGATAAATAGACATGATATTCTTAATAAATCTAATAATTTACAACATATATCTACTTTGATAAACAGTCCAAGTAACTCTGCCAGAAATACGTCAGCATTAAATATATTATTCAATCTTCGTTATCAGATATAAGTATTCATGCATACATATACGTAGTTTTTACTCATTACACTTATACATCACAGACCACAGTACACACAAAGACAAACCAAAGGATCATTTTTTTACAGAGTTTCCAACTTGCAATAAGACTTTTATGATTACCCAAACTCTTAAATTATAACGATATTGCAGTCAAAAGCATAAATTTGTTGACCTTCTTTCTCGAAATTAAGCATTGATCCCATCTTACGGATTTATTCAATTCCTCTTGGATATCCAGTGATGGTCATACCCTGCAGAGATAACTTTTATTTAGTGAGCAAGCATTGATCATTAAATTCAATTTTTTCCAAATTGAATATCGAGATCAAGCCTTCAAGATTAATGGATTAAAGTTTATTTATCACATTATCGTTTCTTTGTAATAAAGATCCCCTGGAAACTAGACTTAACAGATTGAAAACCAGAAATCTATGGTCAGAAAATTGGTTTTGAAAGATTTATGTTGCCATTTTCCCACATTTTATCACCTGGGATCAACCCAACCAACATAAAAATGTTCAGTTTTGTACTTTAGACATTTAATCATTTGGTAAATATATTTGCTATCCATTTCGCCTTAGTACCTTCAGATGTTGAAAGCCTTCGATTGTTTTTGATTTATGAGAATTAAAGGATGTAACATTTTCTACACTCTACACATTTCATAGAGCTCTAGCCCTGCAGGAATAATACTAATAGATAAATATCAAAGAGGCGAAACTAAGGTTTTGGGATATTTTATAGACATGACATCCAGTAAATAGACAATTTTATAAAGGGGCCATTTACATCAAACTATAGTTAATTCCACGTAAGATTGGAACTTAAATGTCTTCAATCATGACTCCTCATTTTGAAAAGCTATCGAGAAGATTAAAAATGTTTTGAATTTCTAGTATGCAATCAAATAAAGAAGTTGAACTTTTGCCAAATTCTGACTTTTTAATTTCTATATCTCAGCAACCCAATGCCGTTGACCTTATATATTTAAAACTATGAGTTCTGTGAAATCAAATAATCTAAGTTTAAATATCAAATGGTTACACCATCAGGTTGAACAGATATAAGGATTAGCAAATTTGACCATGTGATTACGTCTCAATTCCTTTGTATTTCTCAATTTTGTGTTTAAAATCAAAGCAAGAAGAGCTTCGAGGTAACAAAGTCCTACCAGTTTTACCAAAGTTTTCAGAGATCATGTGAATAATTTCATTTACTAAAAACCCAAACGTGAAAAGTCTTATCTTTGAAATGTCCTAACATTAAAAAAGTTTTTCTCTATTAAATGTCCATCTATGAAATGTCATCCAGACAATGTAGATTTATTCATATAGAGCATTAGAAACTCTAGATAAAAAATACATATATGCAGTATTATATATATGCATGCATGCAAAAGTACATATATGCATGCATTAAACATTGTAGAAGAATCTTGCTGTTCTGATATATTCTTGAGAACTTGGATATTGGTTTTAATTTTTCCCTCAGAACTTTATTAAAAATTTTCTTTTTTTATTCAGAATCAGGATTATCAAATAAATGAATGTTTTATAAAAAACAATGAAAAGAAATTCAAAATATATGAACAAAACTAAAACCAGTTCTTTTCCAAACTTCAAATATAACTTAAGGTTTTAATGTGTTTTATCAAAATTAAAAATAACCATTTCTTCATTTCTTCTTATTTCTTACTTTTTAATGAAACTGAAAAAGGATAACGATTTATCACAGTCTATATACTTAATAAACCAAGAAAAATGTTGCCGCTACTTTTGAGAATTTATTATATATTTTGCTCGCCTTAATTTCCGGGATTCTCTTTTTATGTTTGCGCTCGTCTTAGGTGTAGACATATCTAATATATTTACAAACATATTTCTTTTAGATAAATTCAAGTACTTAAAGTAAATCTTTCCATTTATCTCACCCCAATTTAAATAAACGAAATATTTTCTTTTCTGCTGTTTTACAATTACAATCTCTCCATTCTTTAACGCTTAAATTATACCTCCATCTGTATCTTGTATTGATTTTTCTTAAAACTCTATTCTTTTTACAAGAAAACAAAACATATTTATGTTGGAATTTATTAAAAAATATATATTGAAACATCCCAATGTAAATTCAGAAAACTCCCAGAAAAATGTAAATATTCCCGTATAAAAAGCTGTTTTTTTTGGTATGGAACAATTTTCATTTAATCCCGCCCCTTTTAATATTTTACATATATTTTACAATATTTTACAAAGGAAGTTATTTACTCTCAAACAAATTAGAATCAATGGAAATTTTAACCCCCTCGGGATTCAATGATAAACCCGAGGGCGCTAAATGATACATTGATTTTAAGTTTTTTGAGATTAAATAACATTTCTTTGTAAATAGCTGGTTTTAACATGGACCTGTGTAAATTAGTTTTTAGATTAGTGAGATTTACTGAAAATTGTTGCATGTAGTTCTTAAAAAAAGGTAAATTCAACTTGAAAAAAGTTTTAAAATATTATAATATATATATATTATATGTATCTAAATATTTTATCTGTGCAATTGCTGGTTTGTCTAAAACAGCAAATCAGCTAAGCTAAGTCGTCGGCGTAGGCTGAAACCATGTTTATCGGAAAGGAACGTTAAACGCTCTGAAAGCCTGTATTTTTAAATTTCAAAGATCTTGACTGAATTTTAATATTCTCCAGTAAGAGAAAATTTTCAAATATTAGCATAAACACAGTTTTTATTTTTAGCAGTATATCTGCACTACAGTGAAATTCGGAATGTTTGGGATGATTAATTTACATTTTCTGTATTTGTCAATTTTTTTTCAATTTTTGCTTACATCCATAAAAATTTTTTATTTTAAAGCATATAAATAC